GAGCCTAGGATCCGCAAAGTGATGATGAGGACTCAAATGGACAACGAAGTGGCAGCAAAGCATCAACTAGCAATGCACATCCAGATACATATGAAAATAGCATAATGTAGCACAATGGAAGACTCAAAGATATGACCTGACCTAACAGAGACTGACGCAACATCCCATCATACACCACACATGTGAGAGAGGGAGGAGGGTCCGCATACAGGGAAGACCTTGCACACACACATGGGGGAGATACCCCGGATGAAGAGATGGGGGACAGGCGAGACGAACATGGAGGTGAGGGAGAAGACCAAGATCTCGATAGCGAAGTCCAAAAATAGTCTCCCTGCCGAATGTCCAATCAATGTCTGCCGTAAAAATATCGAATCAGATCCTGGGTCTTATGCCCGATGTAATGTCTGCCTGTAAAGACGAACAAGAAGAAGAAGAAGGAGGAGGAAGGAGGATAGATGGAGGGCGAGAGAAGAAGAAGAAGATGCCGTCCTCCTTGCTATCTCACCAGCAGGTAACTGCCGCCATGTACTAACAACCACCACGTGTATCCTCTGTTCTGCAGGTGCGCTGGCACGAAGACCAGCTATGGCGCCCAGGTAGGATCTCCGCCGACGCAGGTATGGGCTCCGCCTCACTTCCCACCTACACCTCGACCTCTACCTCCAGCGTAGCGCTGTCGCGCTGCTCCAGCAACGTGTCGCCCAAAAAGTGAGCTACTCGAACTTTGTGTCTGCCCAGGCGTGGCCCAACTTTAAGTTGCGTTGGGCCTCACGAGTGTGCCTCCGTGTGCCTCTGGTCCTCGGCCAAAACATGGCCTACCGGGTTTGGGTCCCGACCGAACGTCCAGACCCTCCTTGCTGATGCAGCAGGGACGTCCGCTACTAGACGAAAAGGGACCTGGTCCAATAGGGCCTGCCTATGCCCGTACCAGGTCAAAAACATGGCCCGAAGGCCTGTTCGGAAGAACCGCAAGTCCGAAATGACACCTTAATAGGCAAAAATAGGACACCAAATGAATAAATAAATAAATAAATGCTGCCTCAAATTGAAGCTGCGGCCCTAAGGTCGGTCAAGGGACTCCAGGGCTCACGTCTGAGGGGCGTGCGGCCTGCGGGCCCCCAAAATGGGGCCCGTGTGCAAGCTCAGCTTATAACAAATCAGCTGTTTGTCTCAGTCCGTGTTTGGGAGGTCCCAACACTTCAATTTTCCACAACCACCAGTTCCAGCAAGGAGTTATAAATGTTCTTCGTAGTGAGCCACTCGAGTGGCACAACTTTCCTCTGAATTCTTTGGGCTGACCATTCCCACTCCGTCAGATGCCATACCAGGTCCTGTCGTCGGACTGCTGTTCGGAATGGCAAGTATTGCGCCTCCCCCTTCTGTTTTCCTTCGCACACTGCCGCAGTTTTCGTCGTTTTTCTGTCTACCATTTTCTGAGGGCCCCCCTCTTGTGTGCTGCATTCCTCCAGGGGTTCCTGCAGTCCTTTGTTACCCTAGTTTGCTCGCCATCCCCTGACTTCCAGTTTGTCAGTTGCCAGTACGTGTTCCACCCTGTACACTCTCTCTGGTCTCGGGGTTCCCTTCAGCTTCACCTATTTCCCCGGAGTTATTTCATCTCTATACTCTTTAAAGTAACAACAGGCCCACTGTAACAGGCGGACGCGGGTCCAACGAAAATCGACTCAGGGGCGCGCCTTTTCGACAGGGGCCCTGAGGGAGGGACAGGCTTGTGTGGTGTGGGACCGAGGAGGAAGGATGGTACTAGGGCGGGGTCCGGTTGGCAAGCTCGAATTGGAGGCCGTAGGGGGTGGACCGAGGAGGAAAACGAGCCGCAATCGCCCGAAAAAAAAAGTGCGGCGGTATCTTTTGGCCGCGGGGGTACCTCCACACGTCCGAGGTCATCGTTTAGTGGCTCGCACTGTGCTTGCAGTGTGACTCACACACAGATAGATAGATAGATAGATAGATAGATAGATAGATAGATAGATAGATAGATAGATAGATAGAGAGAGAGAGAGAGAGAGAGAGAGAGAGAGAGAGAGA